GGAGATTATGCTAAGTGAAATAAGTCAAGCAGAGAAAGTCAATTATCATACAGTTTCACTTATTTGTGGCACATAAGGAATAGCAGGGAGGACATTAGGAGAAGGAAGGGAAAAATGAAGGGGGGGAAATCGGAGGGGAGATGATCCATGAGAGACTATGGACTCCGAGAAACAGACTGAGGGTTCTAGAGGGGAGGGGGGGTGGGGATGGGTTAGCCTGGTGATGCGTTTCCGCCAGGATACAGAATCTGTGAATACTGAGCATTGCCTGCTTGGCAAAACTGCATTCATAGTAGCAACACAGTTCTAACTGTGGACTAAGAACCCAAATGAAGACAATTGTAAGAGAGTATTAAAGGGCATTAGACAATGATATACCCTGAGTAGATGGCTAGACCCACTATATTTCTGGATGGGAAGACTTAATCATATAAGATGTAGACAAAATTACATTGGGTAGTTTTTTTTATTTATTTATTTATATTATTATTATTATTAATTTTTTGAGAGAGAGAGAGAGGGCGCATGAGTGGGGGGGCGTTGTGAAGGGACAGAGGGAGAGGGAAAAAGAGAAACTTAAGCAGACTCCATGCCCAGGGCGCAGCCTGATGCAGGGCTTGATTTCATGACCCTGAGATCATGACCTGAGCCAAAATCAAGAGTCAGACGCTTAACTGAATGAGGCACCCAGGCACCAATTTTTTTTTTAAGACAAAGCATTATAAAGTTTTTGTGTAAAAATAGATATGTAAGAGTTGCCCAAAATGTTTTTAGAAAAAATAGAGAATATAAAATTTACTATGAAAGTATTGTTAAGAAAACTGTGTAGCACAGGCATAGTGGTAAAAAAAAAGAGAGAGAGAGAGAGAGAGAACTTAGAAATAGATCCACGGCACTGTCCTAAATGAGCACATGCCATTTCTGTTCATTAGAGGATAGGGTGATATTTTATAGCTGGCGTTGTCATGACTCTCTTTACATACTGAAAGAAAAGACTGAGACCCGAACCTCACATGATATACCCAAAAATGCATTTCAAATGGATGAGCTATAGTTCTTGATCTTTTTAGCTGTAGAAATTTTAAAGAAAATTCAAGACGCGGGTTTTATCACCGTGGGTGGCATCGGCCTTTAGGAAACCGAGAATCCATAAAGAGTTGACTACCTAAAAATTAAAAATCTCTGTGTGTCAAAGGACAAGATTAAGAACAAAGTTAAAAGACAAACAAGCCTGGGAAAAAGCATTATTAACCCATGTGAAAGACCAAGTGTTAATGTAATTCAGCTTCTACCAATTCATAAGAAAAGGAACGTACTATGACAAAGGGTGTGTGAACATTCTCAGGAGAGAAGAGGCCCCCCCACCCCGAGTGACCAATCAACATACACAGATATGCTCAGCGTGAAACAGAGAAGTGCCAACAGAAATAACAATAAGATCATCTTCCCCCCATAGAGTTTGGGGGGAAGGTGGGAAAGCACTGGGCTCAAAAACTGTGGGGAAATAGGCATTTGTATCTACTTCTATTGGAAATAAGACTTGTTAGCATAATTTTTGGAAAACGATACACCAATATTTATTAAATGCCCGATGTCCGTGCCTGTAAATACTCAACCCATCAACAGTATGTGTAGGAACCCATCCTCTAGAAATCAAAGCACCATTTTAATATATATTCACATATATTCATCTTATTCATCTACTGCAGCACTGTTTATAACAGGAAAAAAATGGAAACATTCAGAGTGTCTACCAAATACGAGTGTAGCCAGATCATGGGACAGTCCGCATCTGTGAAAAAGGATGCAATAGACTTTCTTTTCATGCGGTGGCTTTTTCCCAAGATGGTATCTTTAAGACCCTGTGAGATCTTGCTCTGAGTTTCTCTAGAAATTCTCTAGGCTTTGCAGCTCTGGCTGAGCTTCAGGTAAGATAGTGTTACGGAAAAATTGTGTTTGTGATCTTGCATTTAGTAGCAAAACAGGTGTCCCTCTCTGGGGCCACCCACACCATCCTGCTTATGTGCTTAACAGGTTCACAACTTTCTCCCATCTCCCCCTGAGAGGCAGAGGAAATCGCATCATCCTTCTACCAAACCGTTTTGGGTTTCACTGGCCCGGTGTGCATTGCCCCAGACCCTTAGAAATATGACCCCTTGGATGGAACCACATTAAAAAAGTTTTTTTAAAAATGATTTCAGAAAACCCTGGGGAAGGGGGTAGGTGGGGATAAAAAACACAATATGGGTTTTTCAATAACATCTTGAACTTATAACTCTGGAATATTGTCTTTGAGCCATTAATGAAACCCACATTGCACCAGGGGCCTTGATGTTGCACACGGTGGGGGCGGGCCACTGCATTCACTGTCCTTTGCCTCTGCACTCCTCATTACGTCCATGTTCCTTTTTGTTCTCGAAGGTAACTTCTGGGGTGCCCGTGGCCTCTGACATTTCTCCTGGGAAGAACTGGCTTAGAAATTCAAGCAATGCTTGACTCTATGTTCCATGCCTGACATTACCACCTGCTCAGCCTGAATAACTTTGCAGGGGGAGGGGGGGCCTCTGGCCTGCTCTCCTCAGTTTGGGTTGATGAGAATTCCCCCCAGAGCCTAAACCTTTAAAATCTGCCCAGAAGAACAGCAGCAGTCCTACAAATTAGTAGAGGTGCACAGGGCCTGAAGGAAATTGGAAATCTTAGAAATTACATTATTTCTAGACTGGTAGAAACTTTAGAGGGGTGTGTGTGTGTGTGTGTGTGTGTGTGTGTGTGTGTGTGTGTGTGTTTAAATCCACCCCGATTTACAGACTGAAAGGAAATTGGATTTCAAGAAAAGAAGACTTCAAGCTTCAGATAGTTGCTCCGGACCTGGGTGTCCCTCAGCCAGTGCTTCTCGGAGTGTGGTCTGTGGACAAGTTGCTCCAATTCTCCCAGGAGCTTGTTAAAAATGCAGATTTCAGGCGCCTGAGTGGCTCAGATGGTTAAGCATCTGCCTTCAGCTCAGGTCATGATCCCAGGGTCCTGGGGTGGAGTCCTACATCGGGCTCTTGCTCAGCAGGGAGCCTGCTTCCCCTCTCCCATTTCTCCTCCCCTCTGCTCATGCTCTCTCTGTCAAATAAATAAATAAAATCTTTAAAAAAATGCAAATTTCACAGAGATTCCAATTCAACAGGTCTGAAAGTAGACCCGGAAATCTGGATTTTAAAGTCCTCCCGGCGATTTGTACATTCTCTATGATGTAAGAACCAGTGGCTAGGCTCAGTCCACCTACCTGGGGGCAGTGCTTCTCTGCTGAGAAGGCAGGCTGGCAGGTGCACCTGAAATGGTGAGACAGCTACGATTTAGAAATTGAGCCTGTAAGCGCCCCAAGACATTCCCACTGAAAGACGAGAGTTTGTCCTTCCTGATCATTGAAAGGATGATGACTTCTAATACTGCTAATATAGTATGTTAATATTTTATAACTTCTGATACTGCTAATTAAAGCTGACACTTTGTCTTGTTTCTGTGTTGACAAAAGCAAATCAGTGATTCTGGCCATCTGGAGAGTTATTGGTGCTCCTTGGGCTGAGGTGATTTGATCCTTCATACTTACGTGCTTCCTTTGGCTTATGGAAGGTGCCAGATGCTGGCATCTGGCAAAGCTGGGAAAGAAGAGGCAAGAACGGCTGATGTTCTTTGGGCGGGGCTGTAGGTCTTCTCTTCTGAACCTAGTGGAAACTGTGCACCTCCTCCATAGAAACACGTACCCACACAGACCTGTGCAGAAATTCCTGAAAATACATGGACTCTATGAACTCAAACACCCCCACTAGAGACAGAAAATCTTTTCTACTTTAATTGACTCCAAGAACTCCCTACAGCTATATTCTGGGGGATCTGGAATTTAAAGTATCTAATTTTTCAAGAAAACACTGGAGAACAGCAAATTCTGTAAGATGCTGATTATTAATAAAGTTGGGTGATGGTTGTAGCAGGGTGCATTAATATACTTTCTTTTGGGTATGAAATTTTCTGTAGCAGAAAATGGAAACATTTAAATATCAAATTCTCTTCTATTCATTTACATTTGGTGTCTCTGTTATCGAGGGAATCTGGGTTGCCAACTGAATACCGATGAGGACCAATGAAGTCACATTGATAAAAAAACAATCCCCAAATTTTGCAGCTGTAAAAAAGTCCCTTATTATACACCAAATGTCAGGCTTTCTCTTGTAATTTATAATCTGTTCTACTTTCCGTGGGGACTCATATCAATGTCAGCTCTTGCCACAGACTGCTGCATAACACACCCTCCCAAAACGTGGTGGCATAAAAAAAATAAACTTTTATTTGGGCTCACATGTCTGCTGGGGCAGGCCAGCTTCAAACTACAGGCTGACTGGGGGAGCTCTGATGATCTCAGCATGTTCAGGCGTGTGTTAAGTGCTTCTCATTTTCCTGGGCTTGTTGAGCTCCCCAGGGCATGCTCTTCTCACGAGAGAGGCTCAAAAGGGCAAGGCCCTGCTTGCATCATGTTGCTAATATCCTGTTGGGCAAAGCAAGTCACCCAGTGAAGCCCAAAGTCAAGGGGAGGAGGAGAACATTGCACCAGAGGGAAGAATTACCAAGTCCCATGGCACAGGGACCGGAGAGGGGGTGGTCAATAATCTCTTTACCATAGGGCCAGTCCATTGGTTTTTCCACCTCCAATAAAGAGAAAGGTTACTTTCCCTGAGTATTTAAAGTGAGCCAGACCTCTGTTACAGGCTCGTCTCCCGACAGAGGGGCCCATGGGAAGCTGTCTCCCCAATCCAGATTTCCCTTGGCTTTGGTGAGACTATTTCTAACCCTCGCTCTCAAATCTCCTAAAATTATTATGTCAGGGACTGGATGGTTATACTATATAAAATCCCAGAGGCTGTCAAATTGAATCCAGACATCTAAGGGATAAATAAGTATATTAATAGGCTGGATTTATATTTATATTATTTATATTTATATATGTGAAACCCCACCAGGTCTGTCAGGAAGCTGTATGAAGTTGGAACGGACCAGCTTACGTGTACCAAGAAGCCTGAAAGCTTAGCCTCTGTTAACAGACGTTGTGAGAAGTCCGCTCTCCTCTGGTCATGTTGCTTTCATTAGGGCCAGATAGGAAAAGGCCCCAGACTTTAAACCCGAATTAAGGTGAATTTATATATATAATTTTTTTTTTGCTTCTACAATCTTTCCCAGTTAATGAAAAGATTCTTAGTCACCAGGAAGCTAACCCCCCCTCAGAAAACCCTCCTCAAAAAAAAAAAAAAAAAATCGTGATTTTCCTTAGGGGCCTTGCTGTTCAAGGATTCCTTATCTGATAACTTCTTACCTTTGAGTAAGGACAGGACAAGCCTCTGGGCTTAAAAGTGTAGAAACAACATTCTCTTCTAATGCAGAACAGAAGACTTGTTTGTCCCGTCCATTTAGGGAAAAACTGTGGTAGGCTGATGGTGAAAAATGGCCCCCGGTTCTCCACCTCCCCCTGGATCCACACCCTTTGTCCTGCGATTTAGAAGAATTTCCTCGCACCAAGAGGTGGAGCCTGTTTCTCCACCTTTCAAATCTGGGCCAACCATGTGATCTGTTTTGGCCAAGAGAACGCTCTCGAAGAATACCGTGCGGTTTATGAATCTAAGCCTAACGAGGCTTTGTGTGCTTCCGCGGTCCTTCGGGACCCTGCCCCGCGGGCCACGGAGCGAGCCCTGCCTCGGCCCGCCCGGGGGTGTGGGTTGGGCGGAGAGGCGGGGGGCGGAGACCGCCGGGGGGGGCGGGGGCAGTAGTGGCTCCTCCCTGCTACCCCCCAGCTGCCCGGCCAGCAGACCCCAAGAACCTGGCCGAAATCAGCCGAGCCTGCCCAGGTTGGCAGAACTGCCCAGGGGAACCCATAGAACTCAGGAGCAAAATGCCCATTATTCTATGACGCTGTGGCTTCGTGCACTGGAGGGATCTGGAAGCCGTGGTGGGGCTCGGTTAAGAAATGAGCCTGCGGAACCGAGGGAACCGTCTTCACTTCCTGGTGGCGTTGGGTGGCTGTGGGGACTAGCCTGCAAAGGAGGACAGGGGCGGAAAAGAAGTGAATTCGTTAGTTCGATCATGCCCCTCAACTGGCTAATAACGATACACTGCTGGAATAGCAGAGTATTTATTCCACGGCGGCCAATCTGCTGGTTTCCTGACAGGCTGCAGGTGCGAAGGGTGGTGGCGGGCGGGAGGACCGGCTAAACCCGAAGCCCGTGTGCAGAGTCCCTGTTCCGTCGCCAACAGGTGCGTCACGAGAGGCCAAGAGGGTTCTTTCCACTGACGCTCAGCACCTGGGAGCCTCTTCAGGGGAGCCACACCTTAGCATGGTCACGGAAGGTCACAAGTGCCTCCTTCTTTATGGGCACCGGTCTCCTATAAGGCGATGGGATCTGGCTTCTGAAATGACGGAAAGTGGCAAAAAGATCAGGTATTTTCTTCCACAAAGAATTATTCCAATTTCTCTAGCTTTTCTTGACAATGGAAGATACATGGGTCTGAACACTGAGACTGCCATTCTAGCAAGTCAGGCTTTTTCTGAGTGTCCTCCGTGGAGGGGGCAGGCTGCTATGGGGCAAGCCCACTGACACCCCCCCCCCCATCTCCAGTCCTTTCAGAGCAGCTAGGCGCATGCAAAATGCAGAACAGGGTCATCAGCCCCTCTTTTCACCTGCCACCTTCCCTCCCATACTGGCCTTCAAGAGAAACTGGAGAAGCCTACTCTCCAGTGCCCTCCGCCCTCTACCCTCTGCTTGGGCTGCCTAACATAGTTTGGGAACAAGACATTTCTTATATGCTTAGGGCACTTCATGCTTTAAACGTGCTTTCGTATCTTAACTCATTTTATCTTAAACATCAAAATGATTCACTAGGAAAACAAAGGTCTTTTCATACTCTACAGACTTGGGAAACTGAGACGCAGAATCTCAGGGGTGACCTCAGGAGTCTGGTGACTAACACCCAGCCCGATTCCTGTATGACCCACAGACAGACAGCTTGTACATGCGATGTTGACTCAGATCCTAAACTTCTTCACTTGGCTCTACTGTTGGGAGATTGCGGCGGATGACATCTCCCCAGAGCACCAGAATCTTCCCGTAGCGCCTCTTTTACTTAGCTAATTGGAAGCTTTCTGTTCGGAGGCCTTAAAGTGAGCGACCGCAGAGAGGGGGAAAAGTTTATTTCCATGCTGCTGCGTCTAATGACAAGTAATCAGTTCCGCAGGTACCTTTTTCATTGACCTTTTTTCCACATGGTGCTCTCAGGAAATTCCATTACTATTGATCCCCTCCAGTTTTAATGCTGTAATGATGCTGTTTCCATTCACAAGGGAAATGATTATGTACACTCTGAGTTGTGAATACATATGTACATATTTATATACGTATCTTTGTTGCCCTAGCAAAGTTCTCCATGCAGTTAAAGTGGTTTGTGAATATCTTTCCTAAACCCCCTCCAGATGTGTCACCAGCATACTGTAAAGTCAGACTTTTCTTTTGTTTGTTGGTCGGTATTTGGTTTGAACGTGCCAGGCATTTTATATTATACAAAAGCGATGACTATAGAAAAGGTTTGTTCTCCGTCTCTTCTCTCCCCCCAACCCTCCCGCCCGCAAAGAACTCCTTTTCAACGTAAGAAGTCAAAAGCTTCCTGTGTTATTCTTTGGGTTTCTCCCTCCAACATTCAAACCTTCGTCTGGGCCAGAAGAAGAGTCGAGGAGGCTCCCTCCAGAGTGGCAGCCAGCTTTCAGAGTCTCCCCTTTCCAAGTGGAGAAATAAATTAAAGCTGACGCTTGGAGCGTGTGTACGCCCGCCGCCTTTAGATTTGTGCTCGCGAGAGTTTATTTATTTTTGCTCCGTTGCAAAAAGATTTATGAGCCCTAATTATGAATTCTGACACTCTTGCACTACCATGGATGCACTTAGGTTGCTTTTCACTTTCTGATGGCTTTCCAAATCTTTCCTTTTCAACTCTCAACCCTCAGGGGCAACAAGGGTCCCTTTTGAAAGAGGGTCTGGCCAGTGCCGCCGCCTACAATGGCTCTGTTTGCATGGCTGGAGTTTCATCAGGGCTCCGGGATTGATGGATGGGCAGTAACCTCGGCTGCTGCTTTATTTACTCTTTCTTGGCCCTTGTCTCTTCTAGAGAATTGAAGTCAATATATAAAAAATGTGTTTCTAAATAAAAGCCGGCAAGTGGAGTGTCGGCCTGGAAATAACCTTTTCAAGCCATTTCGGAAAAGCAAGAGTACTTCATTATTTGAAGTTTATTCTAAAAAGATAACAGTTGATGGCCGATTTGGCTGGGACTGTCGTGTTGGCCCAGCAAGTGAAAAACTGCATTGATTATGCAAAACAGGGAAACTGACATGAACTTTAGGGACAATTCATCCAAAGGGCCGTAGGATGAAGTGGGAGGAGCCTTTGGATTCTTCAGCTAATGCTCAGCTCCCGGCATTTCTCCAGAAGCAGGCAAGAAAAGAGGTCGATGGGATGGGCGGAGCAGTAGTTACAAGACCTGGAATCAGTCCAGGTCCCAAGTGTCCTGCGGGAAGTACAGGGGTTCACCCCGGAGGGAGGGGTATAATGAAGGGCTTGAACAGCATCTGAAAATCCAAGCATATTCTGGAACCTGGGCAGGATTCTTAGCTCTTCTTTTCCTGGCTCCCTCCCTTCGGCCCAGACTCCATCTACTACTTTTCTGGTGTGTGGACCTGATTCTTGGGGTGTGGGGTGGTAGTCAGGGTGGTGATAGACTGGGAACCTCACCTCTTATGCTGGAGAGCAGGCTCCCCAGGGGATGGCAGCAATGTGTCAGGTCACCTGAGACCTCTTGGGGGGGGGGCGGGGATTGGAAAATTTGTTCTTTCTTTTCCAGAAAATGGCGAGGGAGAAGCCAAATATCTTAATATCTTCTCTCAACTGCCTGGGCCAGCATCATTCAGTCTGGGCTCCTGGTTCCTGAAGGATTGCTCTGCCCAACTGGTTCCAAAGATCCCCCCAGATGAAGCAGTCACCACGAAGAGCTGTTTTGAAGACCCTCTACTAACCACAGCTGCTGTGATTTTTCAACCCACGAACTAGGATATCCCTCATTTTCTTTTTTTTTTTTTTAAGATTTTATTTATTTATTCATGAGAGAGAGAGAGAGAGAGGCAGACGGAGAAGCAGGCTCCCAAGGAGCAGGGAGCCCGACATGGGACTCTATCCCAGGACCCTGGGAACATGACCTGAGCCGAAGGCAGACGCTTAACCATCTGAGCCACCCAGGCGCCCCTAGGATGTCCCTTGTTTTCATCACACGGGTCCCATAAAGCCCGATAGGCAAGAGTCAGCCATTTTTTTTAAAGTGCCAATGAAATCATGCCCATGTCTTGCTCACTTAAACGTCTCCAGAAATTTCCCATGAGCTCAGGACAAAACTCGAACTCCTTGCCACGGCCCATGTGACCTGCCCCGTCTCCTGCCTGTCTCCCCAGACCCCACGGTGCTCCAGCCACGTTGGTTTTCATTCTCTTCCACGGATGTGCCCAGCTTACGGTTATTTGAGGGACTAGGCACTGTGTGAAGTGTTCTATCCCCGAGATCTTCACCCGGCTTGCCACTTTCTGTCCCTTCTGTCTCTGCTCAAACATCGCCCCTCTGAAGCAATTCCGACAACTCCATCAGATAGCTTCTCCCCAGCTCCCCCCAAAGGACTGCATCCAGAAACATAGCACCTTTTTTACTTTCTTCACAGAATTTAACAGAATCCGAAGCCATCTTGTTTGCTTAACTTCTATATTGTGAAGTTAAGCAGTTCAAGGAGGTTGTGATTCCAACCTTCTATATTGGCCTCCGTCATCTGCCCCCCCAGCCCCCAACTCTGAATTTAAACGCCATGAGAGCAAAGAAGCCTTCTTCTGCCCCATGCTACATGGTATCCCCAGTGCCTGTCACGGATCCTGTTTCATAGAAGGAGCGCGGTGAATGTTTGTTGAGTGAATGAATGAGTGAATGAATGAATGTGTCAGACACTGCTGGTGGTGGAGGATCAACAGTGAGTGAGAACTGACCCCCCACCTCCACGTGGCTTGCAGGCCAGTGGAGGAGACGAGAAATGGAATGGTGACCCACACGCTGTTCCACGGTAAGTGCCGTGGAAAGTCTCAGGGCAAAGGACAGACTTGAACAGGAGACTGGTCTAATGGAGGGAGGAATCCAGGGGGCTTCCCTGGGGAGGTGATAGAATCTAAAGCATGAGAAGAGTTTTCCACTTGATAATTTGGGATTAATTTGGTAATTAGCCTGGCTCTCAGAAGATAACAGAGTGAGAGACAGGCTCTCACATGGGAGTGAGTGGCCACCCAGAAGAGCCTCTCCAAGACCAGTGGACTTCAGTTCACGAGTCTTTTTACACCTGAATCCACTGACTTTCCACCTTTTCTTCTTTCTCTTTCTCTCCTTTTTGTTCTTTGAAAAGTGTTAAACTCTCTTCACGAAATACACTGATTTTTTTTCAACCTACATTTGCTTCCCCTCAACCCCCACCCCCCAGTTGTTTGTGATTCCAACCTAGGTGCTTTAAAATGTCTTTTCTTACACATTTTGATCTTTTCTGATGATTCCCTGCGTGTGTGATCGGCCTGGAGCTGCTCCTTCTTCCAGAGTCGGTCCCAGCACCGCGTGTCCCAGCTGTCCCTTGTCACTCAGGAGCAGCCTGGCCACAGGCTGGAGCACCGGGGCCACAGAATTTTCAAAAGGCTAACAAATCAGAACCCAGCCAGGCTCTGCCAGGCACCTTTTCGTTTCTCCTGAAATTCTGTGTGCGCTCTGAAGGAAATTTCTTCTGCAGCTTTCCCCCCTTTATATAAATCAGCTCCTGAAAATGGTGGTTGTTAGAGCCATTGGGAGCTCAGCAAGTTTCTCTGCCCCTTTTTCCCTTCCCCAGTGGAGCCTAGAGACTTAAGAGCCGCATGAGGTTTCAAAAACAAATGAACAAACTTCCTTCTCAGGGTGCTGCTATTGGGGGTGAGTCTCCTTTTCAGCTGTCTCCAGCTCCAAGTGAAGGAAGGAGGGAGGCGACCCAGTCCCGCCCTCCCTCGGCACAGATGACCTGCACAAGTCAAGGGCGGGCCTTCCCAACCTCAATCAGAGAGATTTCCATCATGGCCAGTTAGAAAATGCTGCTTCCCCAGACCAGCAGTTCAAGTTCAGCTGCTACATGGATGCATGAGTTCATCATGAACCCACTGCCACCCTCCAGCTGGATGGAGGACAGAGCACTGGAGGGCTGTGTGCGTCTGAGAAAGGTGCCGTAAGCCATGTACCAGATGGTCCCAGGCACTCAGGACACCGAGTTCCCCATGTGCCTCTTAAATACAAAGAGCAAATGTCCCTTCTAGAGGCTTATGGGGATGCATGCTGAGCGCTAACTCCTCCACAGCCCAACGTAAGGATGATGGTTTAAAAGCCTGTGACCTTTGAACGATTAATTGAATATAAAGTTGATGTTAGTTTGAGAAACACACATTTTCAGGTAAAAGGGTCAGATCTTTGCAGGCAGTGGTCATTGCAGACCAAAAAGATCCCACTTTGTGGGTAAGGGTGTTTGGAAATCAAGAAGAGAAAACATTCTGGGCTGAAAACTTTTCCTGAGATAATCTTGTGAGTAAAGATTGGTCCTTGCTTTAGGTAAAAGTTGGTATGGAAAGGAAAACCTATCCAGGGAAACAAAAAGCTTACAACAGGGTTTTGGAAGTGAGGTCTTTTTAGACCGATGGATGTAGTTTTGGAATTGGGTTTTGAAAACTGTTTTTTAACTCTCTGACCTGAAGTTGTGCTTGAAATTCTGCAGCGTGCTGAATCCTTTGGGTGTTTGTTCTATCAGGTCCTTAAAGAACTTGGTCTTTGTTTTATCAGGAGAGCTATTTGAGCTAAGAAGATAAGAATATTTTCGTTCTCTTCCAGTGTCTTCACACTGAGAGAACCCGAATTCAGTCGAAATGAAAGAAAACCATGGTGTTCATCCTGTAGGGGAAAGCTGGCTTATCTAACAACGTTAGTGGCTTCTCACTTTTGGGAAGGGCGCCGTTAGGCCACTTGGCTCTTAGGGAGGACCTACCTTAGCATCTGTTTCTGCTAAACAACAGAAATCTGAATAGGATTTTTGCTTTTATGAAAAAAGAGGAAAAGTGAAAATAGCAGCATCTCAAGTCCCACCGATCTCCTTCCCCGGGAACTCCACTCTGCATCCCGGCACCAGGCCGTCACCACTCTGAACTGTGTCCGTGAGCATCTGTGCTTTACCTCGATTTATTT